CCACATCTCAAACGCTTCTATTCTGTTACTTATATCTTTTTTAAGCGTCCAAGCCTCCATTCCATATAATAACACAGAAAATACATAAGATCTAAGCATTCGTACTTTAAGTTGCAGACTCAGATCATTGCTGCAAAGTACTTTTCTCATAGTATTGAATGTTGATCGGGCTTTTCCTATACGTGATTTGATTTCCTGTGTGTAATCGTTGTTTTCGGTTATGATTGTTCCCAAGTATGTATATCTGTTCACCTTTTGAACGAGTTCGTCCCTAATCCATAACGTGTCCTGTTGTTGTGTCTTTGCGATGGTCATGAATTTCGTCTTTTTGATATTTAAAGTAAGTCCAGCCTCTTCGCTACTGTCTACAATCTTATTTATCAGAACCTGCAATTCTTCAACTGACTCTGCGATTACTAAAGTATCATCGGCGTATCTGATGTTATTTATAAGTTCTCCGTTGACTTTAATTCCACTTGATGTTTCCTTTAGTGCCTTCTGAACTACCTCTTCTGAATAGAGGTTAAAAAGCAGCGGAGACAATATACATCCCTGCCTTACCCCTCGTTGTATTTCTATTTCTTCTGATAGTTCGTTGCCAACCTTTACAGATGCAACTTGATTAAAGTAAAGGTTTGATATTATTCTAATATCTTTCATATCCAGATTTTTATCTTGAAGTAGCTGTAGGAGGCGATTATGTCTGACTTTGTCAAATGCCTTATTGTAATCAAGGAAACAGACATAAAGAGGTTGGTTAACATCCATACATCTTTGGGCCAATACATTCAGGGCAAACAAGGCCTCTCTTGTACCCATTGCGTTTCTGAAGCCAAACTGCGTGTTACTAATATCTTGCTCCAGTTTTCTGAAAATTCTTTGATGTATAATTTTCAAGAATATCTTTAGAGTGTGGCTCATTAAGCTGATGGTTCGATGGTCACAGCATTCTCTAGCGTTAGCTTTTTTCGGTAGAGTCACGAACGTCGACTTAAGCCATTCTTTTGGAATGACGCCTGTATCATATATGGTGTTGTACAAGTCTTTTAGTATATCTATTTGATCTTCTGCGATTAATTTTATAATTTCCGCTGGTATCTCATCAGGACCTGTAGCTTTATTATCTTTTGCCAATTTTACTGCATGCATGACTTCTTCTTTTGTTATACTGGGCCCCGTTTCTCTACTGTTGTATAGTTCTATGTTTTCTGGTTGTCTCTCATCTTTAAATAATTCCTGTATGTATTGTTTCCATCTTTCTATTTTCTTGTTGTTATCAAGGATAATTTTACCTTTTTCATCTAATAGAACACTACTGTGGTTTGTTTTTCTGATGCCGGCCAGTTCTTTTACCTTCCTATGTAGATTAAAGTCATCATGCCTTTCCAATAGTACTTCTATTTCCTCACACTTGTTTGAGTACCATTTTTCCTTGGCTTCTCTTATTTTCTTTCTAATTACACCATATATGTCTTTATATTTTTCGATGTCTACGTTCTTGTACAATCTTCTCTTTTCCATCAATTGCAGTATCTCATCATTAATCCATGACTTTGTTGTGTTATTATTTTTCTTTCCTTTTAGAATCTCCTTCGTTGGATTCAGCATTATGTTTTTAAATGTTTCCCATTTTCTGTTCGAATCTTCGTCTGGATCGATTATATTTATCTTTATTTCCTCGTTAATTTTTTTGGATAGCTGATCTCTTACAAATGAATTTTTCAAAAATGAACGTTGTATTTGATTCTTATTGCAACGTGCAGTTAGTTTTTTAAATCGGAGATCGAATGATACAACAACGGGATTGTGGTCTGTGGCTGCATCAGCCCCAGGGTATGTTTTTGCTGATTTAATGGAGTTCCGAAACCTTTTTCTTATTAAAACATAGTCTATCTGGTTTCTAATAACTTTCCTATCATTATCCGCAGGCGATCTCCAGGTGTAGAGTCGACGATTAGGTAACTTAAAATAAGTGTTTGTAACTACCAGACTGTTCTCTTGACAGAACTCCACCAATCTTTCCCCCCGTCGTCTGTATACCCACATCTAAAAGACTGTCAAGCGTTTAAGGATAGCCTCAGTTAGAGTCATCACTTCCACTCCATACAGCAGGACAGGAAAGATGTAGCAAGATGTCATTCGAACTCTAAGGTCAATGCTAATATCGTGACTGCAAGTACGTCTCTCATTTTTACAAAGGCAGCTCGGGCTTGTTCTATTCGGCTTTTAATTTTTGCGGTTGGATCCCAGCTCTCATTAATATTACTACCGAGATACACGAGTTTCTTTACTCTGTCCAGTGTGCAATCTCCGGCTTTTATACCGTCATTCTGTATATAATTTTGTTTGCTAACTATCATATATTTAGTTTTCTTAACGTTGAGTTTTAATCCATACTGATCACAAGTCTGTTTTATTTTGTTCATTAGATTTATTTAAAAAGTTATAAACATCGAATATAATTCCCGAAATTGTCAGTTATAAGCACATAACCCACCATTGAAGAAAATTTAGGTCCCAAAATCCTACCAGAAGAAATAACGGCAATCGTCAGACAAATGAAGGGTGGAAAGGCACCGGTACTTGATAAAATTATCTTTTTTCCAGCAACATTCGTCTCATGATCGTGACTTATATAGTTTATCAGAACAATTACGTTTTTATTTTATTGTTTTATATTTCTGCTTAATATTTTATGTATTTCTCACTCTATATATTAAAATAATTATTTAATAAAATATGGAAGCGTTTAGTACAGTTTCGTGCGACTTCCAGTGTTTATTAGTATCTTCAGGTAGTTGTTTCACACATCGACACACATCAGTGTCGATTCAACGAAAATGGCACCAAGAAACCCCAAAACGTGTTGACTGAGCGCCAGAAAAGATAGCCAAAGCAATTATCTTTCGAGAAGAAAGTTACAAATTGGGTGGTGGCGCCACAAAATCAGGTGTAATGAAAATTTGTAAACGTTATCATAACACCGGAACGACAAAATCAGCAAAAAGAACAAACAGCACGAACTCCTAGAAAGAAGCCGTTCCTGAACAAAAAACAGAGGCATAAACGCATTGATTGGGCTTTGGCACACAGAGGGTGGACAGAAGAACAGTGGAGTAAGGTAATTTGAAGTAATGAAACCAGTATCTCGGTCTTTTGGAGTGACAGAGTGAAGTTTGTTCGCAGACCTCCGGGGGAAGACCTTTTGCCCCAATGTATTACGGTCACTATGAAGCATCCTGTGAGTGTCATGGTATGGGGACGCTTAGCAGTAATAGAGGGCAATATAATTGCAAAAAAATATCTGGAAGAGATACTGATATCCAAACTGCTGCCGACTATCAAAGATTTGTTTGATGGGGATGCCCAACAATGTATCTTGCAGCAGTATGGAGCGCCTTGTCATACCGCTAAAACTTTCATGGAGTGGTTAAGAAACTATGACGTTACTGTCCTGTCTTGGCCTGGAAATAGTCCCGATCTAAATCCAATAGAGAATTTATGGCCAAGGCTGAAAGTGTTACTAACCCAAGCAACAAGAGAGAACTGATAGAAGCCATTATTCAAAACTGGTTTAGAGTTATCACACCAGAAGAATTGGCTCGTCTTGTGAACTCCATGCTTCGTAGAATCGAGTCTGTCCCAAAAAACAAAGGTTATCCCACCAAATACTAATTTTCTTGATAATAACCGTTGTACCATTCTTTAAAAATATATCTACTAATAGCTAACGGTTGTTGTTTTATTTATTTTTAAATTTTTAGAGGGTTTTCCTCTTAAAATAGATGTTAAATATTAAGTAGAAGCATAAAACGATGGAATCAAATTATAGATAAACTTATTAATAAGTCTTGTGAAACAGAGAAATGCTAATAACAAATACTTGTACAAAGATCCAACAGGAATTTCTTTATCAATCATCTCACTTTACTAAAAAATGCTATTCCGTAACTTAGTTCTTCAACTGTTTTTTTTTATTCCCGGAAACTTTACAAATTATGTTAATATGTGGCATTTATTCACCAATATAAGTTAAAATAAAACTGATTTATTTTGTTGTAATATTATAATAATCTTGCGAATGTTTCTTATTTTAAACCACACTAATAATTTTGGTTTTGACATATTGGCGATAATTAGTCCAATTTTAGATATAGGTATTTATTATTTTTAATAATCGCGATTGTTTTTCAAATAAAATATGTATTTTTAGTATTATTACTTAATCTAACCTTGACATTATTCAACATACTATAAAATTCTTATGATTTATTGATGTATTATATTTTATAGTTTTATCTTTCATAAAAAAGCCAAGTGCATGCAATCGCACATCGTGCATGAACAATATCGAATGAAAAAATGATAAGAAATCTGCAAATAGTGGTTTTCTATTTATTTATATTCAATAGCCTGTAAACTACTTCATTTTTGACGTAATATAATATGTTTACTATCTACTGATGTCAGTTTAACCACCCAACAAGAAGCGAAGCCTTTGTCGGTACTTTTGATGTTCGTAGGACAAAAATTGACAATGAGTGACAATGTCAGTTAAACTACTTAGTACACTAAGAAAAGTAATATAGAAGTCGTTCAAAACTGTAGTAAAATTATAGTTACACTGATAAACTGTATGTTTTGTATAAATTTTATTTTTTTCTAAAAAAAAGTATATTTAACAAAAATAAAAACATTTAGATAACTTTTGTAACGCGTTTGATTTTCAAATTTAATTTGTTTACCTGCTACGATCTCTCGTTATCGAAAAGAGACTTTACCTATTTCCTCACCAGATTTAGATAGGAATATTTGACGTTTCGTCTTCCACTTCACAAATCGTTTTCAAAAAGATTATTTTAAAAATTGCGCGAAAAGTATGTATAATCAACAACATACAAGTGATATATTATCACTTTCATTGTAAAGATACTATAATACATTTTAAATAAATTAAACAATATTTTGGTTTTTTTTTTCATTTATACATTTTTTTTCAGGACCCAGTATTGATGTACCTGCTCCTGACATGGGTACCGGCGAAAGAGAAATGTCCTGGTTAGCCGACACATACGCCAAAACCATTGGTTTCCAAGATATAAATAACCATGCCTGTACTACTGGAAAACCCATCAACCAGGGAGGTATTCACGGACGTGTCTCTGCTACTGGTCGTGGAGTTTTCCATGGTGAGTAAATATTTTAAAGATCTTTAACAATAAATATTTTATTTTAATATAATGTACTATAATTAAAAGGACACTTCCAGAAATCATTTTGTGCGCCAATAAACTAGTAGACAAACTTCTTTACCGGCTTATTACAAAATTCTTGTATTTAATTGTCCTACATTCTGAGGAGAGTTACAAAAATATTATATTACTTTTGTAGAAAAATATTTATCCTATATATAAATTTAATATTCTAGCCCTATAATTGGTGCATAACCCACAAAGTAGTAATATGTTTAATACAACTCATCTACACTTGTAAATAAAATGACATTGTTGGCATCAAATTTAAATTTTAGTTAAATCTAAATCTATGTTTTTGTTGTCGTTTCTCATTTTAATAATGTGTAAGGTGTTATTTTTTCTTGCACTGGGAAAGATCTTCTAAACTTCTTCAAATAGAGTATTAAAATTTATTTTTTTTTCTTCTGATCACCCATGATCATATATTTTAATCTCTTTCCTACAATATTACTATACAACAAAACACAGTTAAATCGCGACCATGTGCCACCAAGAAGGAGGCGTGGTTATTTTACTTTTTCAGTATATTATTAAGTTTATTAATAATGTATTTGAATTGGCCTCCTTTTTGGCAAAACTTTAAGATAGAGAACAATTTACCGTGTGTTATGATCCAATGTTCAACCTTTCAGATCCAACAAAGTATGATAATGTTATGAAATGAACAGTCACCCAGTATGAGATTCACTCATATACTGAACGTCCTCTCTTCATTGTTCCCTTCTTGTTGACTCCTATTTGATTTTCGCGGCTCAACTCCGATTTGTTATATACTATTATAATTTAAATCTTTTTGTAGGTATTGAAAATTTCAGCAACGAGGAAAGTTACATGCAAAAGTGTGGATTGACAACTGGCATCAGAGGAAAAACCGTAATTATTCAAGGTTTCGGTAATGTCGGTTTGCACACCATGAGATACCTCCACAGGGCAGGCGCCAAAGTAATTGGTGTTATTGAATATGATGGATCTATCTTCAATGAAAACGGTATTGACCCCAAGGTTAGTAAGACTCTTCTTTTACTGTTGGTATAATTTGTTAACTTGACATATACACACAATAAGGCTATCTTTAAAACAAAAACACAGCTATATATTTTCAATTACTTTTTAAACCCCACAATAGAATCTCATAGGAGTTGTGACCGACTCATTCATCTTTTCGATCTGCCAGTGTTATTTCAAACAGATGTATTATAAAAATATCTTGTCCCTATGGAGAACCCAACTATTATCGGTAAAATTATGAATGAAATCTAAACAATAAACACATATAAATCGTGTAAAATGAATTGATATGCATGTAAACAACTTTGGTGGGGTATATAAATAGCAATTGGAACTGATGAATGTAACTTATTATTAATTAATTAATACCACATGATACATTTTGTTGTTATCAATAATAAAAGATTTTATTACCGTAAAATGGGGTTACTTTGCACTGAGCAGGGTAACTTTGCACCAAACCTGTAAACGTACGCTCAATTTTGTTTATATATTTGTACTACCTCTAGAGCACATAGGCAACATCGCAATACGTGAGTAAAACGCGCGCGATTGTCTCTGCGGTCGGTTTTATACGTTTCCCTCCGAATAGCACCCACGTTACACAACATCTAGATGTTGCATTATTTGCCCCAATGTTAACCTGGAGGGAAATTTTATCTGAATATAAGGAAACTCATGTGTAGAGTAGATCAAATGTACTTGAGAAACAGCATTTTCCAATGTTTTTACGATCATTAATCGAAAAAATACAAAAGAATAGCGATGAGATATTAAATTCGGGATTTGGGAAATGTAATATCGTTCCTTGTGATATAACACCGCTCTTGGAGCGGTTAAAAACAACTCAGCAATCTAGTGTGATCTGATTGTCATACAACAAATAATATTAAATCAAGTTCGTAAGATATCGAAAAAATTTTCATTCGATATTTACAAAATAAAATAAAGGAAGCCACCCAGTTTAAGACACGTGAGAAGAAAAAGAAAATAAATGTTCCAGCAGGACAAAGTATTGCCCATTCTGAAATTAGTTTAGAAGATCTAACTGAAGCATCTACTTCCACACTTCATCAAGCTGTTGAGCCAGAAGTCGTAGATGATCCAGAGAACGATATTGCTTTGGTCGACCACTTGCCACTAGGCAGAGATTCATCAGATGATGAAATAAATGAGTTGGAAGAGATGGAAGAAGAAAGCGAATTTAATGAAAAACTCGCCTCAGGTTCTCTCACCTTCACAGTGAATATAAATGTTTATTTAGTTTTTTGATGAGACAGGTCATTTTAAAGTATAAATATTTTAATGATTTTAGAATAATAAATTCGTTAATTGAAAAATAAACGTTTTACAGAAGCTGTGGGCATCTTCATTTTATATAATAAGGTTATCATACACATTGGCCATTATTGTGTGTTTGCTAATTTGATAAGATGTATTCTTTATATGACGAAACTATTTACGTAGTAAGAGTGTTTTTTTTAAATAAATATTGGAATGTAAGGTCAAATAAAACAATATAACAGAATTATAAATGTATTATCAAAGTCGTTGGAAGTATTTTTATAGTTCGATAGAACATCTGTACGACCTATTTTATTTAACCGTTCAATTTGTCTAAAGTAGGGCATTGGCACCTTTTATGTGCCATCGAGAAAAGTGGTGCTGAAAACATAAAAACATAAAAAGTTTAGGTGCGATACATAAAAAAAATAAAATGAAATTTTCTGCCTTTACATATATGAAATTACAAAAAATTTGTAATTGTTAGTTATGGCTTCATGTTCATGTTTGCGGCTTTAGTTGCTGCTTGATGGAAATGCCAGGTATCGAATCCGTTGTAGGTTCAGGCAGCTGAGAGTTTTGCATGGTAGTTACTATGTTGCTGCAGGTTGTTTTCCATAGTCTACCATGTGCTTCCGGAAGTCTCTAAGTAGTACCAGGAGGTTCAAGAAGTTTCACCATGTGATTAGGTACCACAGGAAAATGTACTCACCTCAAAAGAGAATTAACGATTTAAATGAATTTATGAGCAGAAATTCAGCTAAGTAGACAAAAAAAGCAGAAATGACATTGCCACCTTCAGTATTACAAATATATTGACATTGACAAATATATTTTTATTTATTTGAAAAATAATGATTAAATAGGCTATTTAGTTGATAGAAGAGTTAAGCGTCAATTATTTTTAAAATATAACTAGTAATATAAAACAGAAAGTTAACAAACGAATAAAATCAAAAGAAATTGGAATAAAATATGTATTTAAAGAAAAATAACAAACGTGACGTTTACAACATTAAAATCTATATGTAATAGTGGTTAAAAACTAGTTACTTAACCAAACAGCTAAAACTTCTCGACATATGTCTTAAACTTTGCTATACATTGAGTTCCCAACATTATCTTCTTTCCTCTTTACGTGACATCTCTGCGAAGGAGGTTGGCAGTCAACCATGAGATTCTTATCCTTCTTACACTTCTCTTGCCCTGGATTTTCCATTGTATAATTAATTGAAGTATGTATGTTGTATCTTTCATTACGCATAACATGCCCCAGGTATTGTAGCTTTCGTGTCTTGATGGTTTCCAATATTGCCATACTTTTGTTGACTCTCCTTATGACTTCGTTGTTTGTTACATGCTCGTCCATGATATCTTCAGGATTTTTCTGTATACCCACATTTCAAATGCTTCCAACTTTTTAGCAGTCGACGCGTTAAGTGTCCATGCTTCTATCTCGTAAAGCAGAGTCGAGAAAATATAACACATTGTTCGTGCTTTCTCTATTCGAACGTTGATTTCGTTGGAGTAATCGTTTGTGTGCGATTAATTATTGCGCCAAGATAATTGCAATTTTCAACTTGTTCTAGTGTTGCACCGTTAATTGTCAGGCTTTCATCATTATTTTGGGTTTTTGATACCCTCATAAATTTAGTTTTCTTGATGTTTATTGATAATCCATATTCTTCTCCACACTCAACTATCTTGTTCATTAGATTTTGGACTTCTTGGAGGTTGTCTGCTATTTCTCCCTCAAGAGCTCTTTTCATAATTTCTTCAGAGTATGCATTGAATAGTAGTGGTGACAATACACACCCCTGTCGCACTTCGCTTTTAATTTCGAACTCTTTTGATGTGTGGTCATTAGAACACACATCAGAAGAGTTCATCCAATATCTAAACATTGTCACTTTAATATTAATTCTAATATTATTTAATGTCATGGCCACATTATTGATCGATGATATATTTTCTAGGACCTTGAAGATTACAGAGTTACCAACGGTAGCATTAACGGTTTTCCTGGAGCCAAGAAATACGACGATAACTTACTATTCCACGAATGTGATATCTTGGTACCCGCTGCTACTGAAAAAGTAATTACCAAAGACAATGCCGACAAAGTCAAAGCTAAAGTAAGTATTGTATTTTAATACCAACTTAACTATGTTGATACTCACTTTTAATCATCTTGTAATAGAGTATTACACAATATTTATTGCTTTTTTAGATCATCGCTGAAGCCGCCAACGGACCATTGACACCAGCCGCTGATGAAATCTTACTTAAAAAGAATGTGCTAGTCATTCCCGATTTGTACGTTAACGCTGGTGGTGTGACAGTCTCATTCTTTGAATGGTTAAAGAACATCAACCACGTTTCATACGGACGATTGACCTTCAAATATGAAAAGGACTCCAACTACCATTTATTACGTAAGTGACTATTTTTGTACTATTTAGATCTTGGAAATCTTGGTTAACAAAAAGTTATAACATTCAATAACAATTTTTCAATATGAATGCTACTATAAAAACTATTTGAAACTTTATATCTAATTAAAACATCTTATTATGAACTTGATACCATACATAAATGTAAACAATTATCGAATCTTCTGAGAAGATCTCTATAAACATTATCTGCGCTTTTTTGACTAAATATTTAATATACTCTTTACAGAATCTGTTCAAGAATCTCTCGAAAGGAAATTTACCGACATAGGATCAATCCCCATCTTGCCATCTGCACCCTTCAACAAGAGAATTGCTGGTGCTTCTGAAAAAGATATTGTACATTCTGGTCTTAGTTTCACAATGGAAAGATCTGCAAAGGTAAGTGGGTGTGTCGCTGTATAGATGTTTTTTTAATCATATTGGTCGTTATAAAACACATTGAAAACTTGATAATAAATTTTTGTTTGGTGTAATATTTTAGAGGAATCCACCAACAACCACATAAACTAAAACATTATGCTTTTTCCACGGAAAAAACCTAACATTAATCTCGATTTTATAAATAATAAACCTTCCATTGGATTTTCCCGTAATATTTTGTTCATTCACTCACCCGAGCAGCACCCTGCTTGGGCGCCAATTTGTGAGAGATAGCTCTTTAGATAGCAGACTCATTAAAACACAGCTTTAATGGCCCACTGTTTAATATCTGCGAAATTTAAAAACTGAATGAGAATTACGGTGTGCAATAATACACACAAGCTAGAATAGAGTTGGAACGGGCCAATCAACACTTGGGCCCGGCCAGGATCGGACGGTGTCCAATCAGTACTTGGACACATGAAGAAATTCGTGTACCCCCGGCAATAAATGCCGGTGGAACCCAGATCTACCTGGCCTTTCGGCATACGACCTTTAGCTTGCCGCTAGCCCTACGAGTCCGACACCATTTGAGGGTGGCGCGTTGCAAGGAGCATCGCGGGGCTACACCCTCACCGTGGTACCTGTGTGGCGGTACGAACAGCCGTCCGTTATTATCCCCGAAATTTGTAACCTCCAAATTTGTCATTATTTTACGATATTGTGAAGGATTTTTATTTTGAATATTTAAACTTGTCCCCAAGTTAAAATTAAATATGTTCATCATTTTATCTATAAGGCACGGCACAAACATTAGAAATTATAGTATACGTTATAGCCGGTTTTACAGAGGTGCGTTAATTCAACTAATGAACCATGTACTAATTCCTACTACTGTTATTATTTCATTTATACATGTGAATTTAAGTTGGTTAATCTCAAAATCTCATGGTTACACTTATATACACTTACAACTTAAGTTGTACAATTGCTTTATTTTATTCTGTACCATATTATTGTAGAGGGTTCTATATTAGTTCCCCATAACTCTCTTCTCTTTGTCAACAAGTTTCGATCCACTCCTGAATGTAGGTCTCTCCCAATTGCTTCCATCTTTCTCTATCTTGTGCCAATCTAATCCACTGTTTGTCTGCCACTGCTCTTATGTCATCTACCCATCTTTTTTGAGGTCTTCCCATGCTTCTTGTTGTTGTCCTTTTTAAACAGTATATCTACAACACTAGAAGCCTCCTGGTTTGGGATTGCATATGACTCAATCCATTTTATAAAATAATCCATTGCCACCAGTGTATATTTTTACTTCCAGTGCCCGTTTTTGGAAATCATCCTGTAATATCAATGAGGACCCTTTCCATAGGACTACCAACATTGCGTAGCTCCATGTTGCCTTCGTTTTAACAGTTGTTTTAACAACTAATATACGCAATATTCCTGACACTTCAATCAAGTAAATCAGGTAGCTTAGATTCGGTATCATCTTTATTTTCAAAGGTTCTATACAAAAGATCATCTTTCAGTACCAGGCAGTTCTATTAACTCCAGTAGGCTTTAATTTTTGGACTGTATGCACTTTTACGTTTCCAATCTAAGGTACGTTTCAATCATGCATCATTTTCTTGGGTATCTTGTAATTTTTGGGGTTGCCATTGATCATTTGTCATGTTAATTCGTCGCACTTGGTCCTCTAATTTTGAACAGTGGCTACAATTCTCGCATCGGCGTTTTAATGGATTTTTGCTGCCCTTTGCACGATATCATAATTGTATTCTTCTGATCGTTGTAGCAATCTTGCAATTTGGAAGATGGCTATAGCGCAATCCTCATGGATTACGAATATATAAGCAATAGAAGCTATGATGAATTCGAAGGATAAAACTATTTGTGTTCACAAGTTCTCACCACAACTAAAAAGTGGTCTTTCCACAACTTTTTGGACAACTTCATCTTGATCGGAAGAATTTTCCGAGTATATCGGGGCAATAATAGGAGCTCTTTGCAGCTCTTCGAAAGCCTTTTGACACTCATCATTCCATATACTCTGCCTTCTTCGATTTGGTTTGTTAAGGACTTTCCTGTATTAAGAAAACTGTACTTGTATTATTACCTACAATATAAAAAATATATCTATTAAAGTAATTGAACAAATAAATAAAAACATCAATGAACAAACCTACAAGTAGCAGCCAAAGTTCATGGTTCTTACAGAAAGTCTTGAATTAACGCGACTTCGTACAATCGTCCATATGTCAACTAGATCTACCAATTATTTTTTATGCTTAAATGTTTGATGGTTTTATTTTTTAGCATAATTATATTTATTATTTTTAAAATATAGTTTTATCATTTTCGCTTTAATAAATTGTGAATCGTGTTACTAATATTGTGAGTTATGAAAATTATGCATGGTGTGAAACATTTGGCTTTTTCAGTTTCTTTTGTAGATACTAACTTCTCGTAACTATCTACTGGGTGTCTCAATATATGGATATATTTTTTAATCGGTTGAAAAGAGAAATATTCCATTAAAATATTTGCTTTTTTATTTTTTATTTTTTTCAAAAAACAAAGCTTTTCAAATATATAATATTGTTACTGACATGAACTCCTACTCATATTAGTATTATAAACAGTATAATTGGTATTATCATTATTACATTGTAACACAACAAACGATGGACAGTGTTTGAAGTACACACAATGAATGAGGCCGCGTTGCTCAGAATTGGAGATATGTGGGTGTGGTTCTTATGATATTTTTACTAGCACATAAAAAATTGAACAGGAGAAAAATTGAATGAAATTTAAAAATAGATTATAGCTATTAGAGCTAAACCAGAAATGTGGGATCAACAATACAAAGAAAAATCATAAATAATTTGCCAAAAAAAACGCACCACTTTTTCTTGTTTTCGAGGGACAAAAGCTCTACCAAAATACATATTTAAACAAATAACAGGAAACAATCACATCTATCGCCCTATCAGCGAAAAGCCGGTAACAACCAGCTGGAAACTGGCCGTTCTCCTAGTTGATCAGAAGAAAAGTGACTGGGAAGAAAAATTCTTCTGACGATTCCTATTGTAAACAAATACTTAAAGTATGTTTTCGCGTTTGAAATCTAAATCCCAATTCCCAAATCTTAAATAGGAACTATTGAGACATACAGAGAGACGAGCACCCAAGGCAATTTGGGCTGAATAAAATACCCAATGTTTATTCTATTCTAAGAGACACTAAGTGTTTTTCACCGATTATGATAAACTAACTTTCGAATAAAGCCTCGAATAAGTGGAATAATTTGAAATACGTAAATTAAAACTGAGTTTTTTTGAATCGTTACAACATATCATTGAACTCTTCGTGCGGAAAGGAATTATCGTATAATATTTTGCTAAGCATTAGAGATAATGCAAATGAAATAAATGTAAAAATTTCCGAAAGGAACTTTGAGAATAAGGAGTGGTGAAATGGAGAACAAAGTAAAAAAAGAATATATGCATAAAGAGTGGAAGAAGATAGGTCTGACACAGATCTTCAAAAGTATAAGATTGTCAAAAGGAGTGCGAAATGAGCTGTAACAAATATATATAAAAATAGCGAAACGTCAATAAAACTTTTTTATCGGATTAGAAATATCCGAGATGAAAAGGATAAAACACTAGTTTCTATAGGAACAGTAATGGCGTCCAAAATAACAAAACAAAGTTGCTCAAGCACTACAAAAAAGAAAGAAAGGTAACGCAGTTGATGAACCAATAATATTCCTGGAGATGTATACAAAGTACAGAATGCACAATATACAAGACCATAAAATTAAGTCACACCTTGAAAATGTGAGAAAAGGAGAGAGTAATTGATAGAAAGGTAAGCGAAGGGACCTACGTATTCTAAAATCACTTTGGATTGATTCTAAACGGATCTTAAACAGATACACTTTTTATTATAAAAAATATAATGGAAACGGATGGATGATAGAGTTTTTGGGGCATATACCTGGTCTGGTCCAAAAATAGCACTGACATTATCTCTCAGTCCTTATGTTTACCGGACTTAGCCCCCTGCGACTTTTTCCAGGCAAACAACTATAAAAGGGCGAAGGTTTACAATCGTTGAGGTGATAAACACACCATCCTGAGAAGATATCGAGGTCATACAAAAAAGGTCATATTAGAAGTGGTTTGAGGATTGGAAAGAGCACTTGCATCACTGTATTATATAAATATTCGAAAATCAGGTTAGATTGATACTAGGCAGATCAAAAACAGATTCATTTTCTACCGGAAAAATATAGGAATAGAAATCTTGTTCATGATATATTACTGCGACATGTTTCAAGATGGGTACCGAAGAAGAGAGGAGTTTTTGGTGCATATATTCACCATTCATTAAAAGAAATTTCATAATTTTATATAATATACCAAGAAAGTAATATTGAGAATATAACATATAACCTGTAATATTTCAGTGTTAAATGGAATTAAAGCACATTGTTCGTGCTCCCTTTACTTGTTCGTTTGACCAAAAACAGCACTGTCATTATCTCTCAGCCGCCATGTGCACTAGACTTAGCCCCCTGCGACTGTTTCCAAAGATAAAAAACTATAAACGGGCTGAGGTTTATAATTATTGAGATAATAAAGACCGCATCGTTAGAAGAGTTCAAGTCCGAACAACAAAGTGCATATCAGAAGAGGTTTAAGGCTTGCACCAATCTATTATATCTAAAAGGAAAATATCATAAATGCAGTTTGGATTGATGCTAAGCAGATCAAAAACATGCACTTTTGCATGCAATAACGAAAACCAACTTTTCACTCTAAGAAACGCCATTAGTATTAACCTTTAATTTTCTTGAAGAATTTTATAGTTTCGTAAAGATTGACTTTAGTACTCGTATAAAACGCATGATATCTTATGTAGCTTCACATAATTACGTTCACTAAAATAGCATATTTCCGGAGATATATAAAACATTTCTCTTCAACCGTTTAAAAAAT